AGCTACTTGGGAGGCCGAGGCAAGAGAACTACTTGAGCCCAAGAGTTTGAGGTTTCTGTGAGCTGTGACGCCACGGAACTCTACCCAGGGCAAAAGTGAGACTCTGTCTCAAGGAAAAAAAAAAGAAAGAAAGAAAAAGAAATGGAAAAGAAGAAAAAATTTAAAAAAAAAAGATAAGTGATGGATCTGTTTTAGTGTGATTACTTGGTATATTTAAAAATAGGTGGAAATTCTGTTTATCTAAATTTTTATTTCTACTTTGCTTTGTTTAATTCTCAAGTTTAGGAACCAACAAACAAGGGTAGATAGAAGTCACTCTTGGGAGAAACAAAATTAAATAATAACCTGGCTAGAGAACTTTATGATTATAGTAGACCAGCAATTTTGAAAAATTATTTCCACTGTATAATTCATCATAAAAATGTAGACTAAGCTGTCATCCTTGAAAAAGGAATACTATTATAACTATCAAAGCCAGCAGTCTTTAAGCTTCAAAACAACTTAGAGCAATACTGCCATGTCAATGTTACCTATTTGTACTGTAACTCTTTATAACCCTAGATCACAAAAAAAAAAAAAAGCAGATGTTTAAAACCGGATAAGGCTGCTGAAATTTAACACCATTATCTTGATAAACTCTCCCTACCACCACACTCCTCCCCCTTTACTCAAAACATTATTCTTGATACAAGTAATTTTAAGGACCTTTCTCAATGCAATAATATAACCATTCCCTGTTACAATTTGTAGAGTGAACACTAAACTTTAATTAACTACATAAACAGAAGTAGTTAAGGATAGACAGAAAAAGTGAAAACAAAACAAAAACCCCTATTCCATTTAAAACCTTACAATTTACAAAGTTCCAATTATCCCTGCAAGTGTAGCTGTAAATCTTTACGCATTCTCTCTTCAGCTGGGATAATAGGTGGGAGCACTTAGCGTCAATTCTGAAGACATGTTTTATTAAACCTCTGAACAGAACTTAAAAGTATGTTTAAAGGCTTCTTAAACTAGTCAACAAGCTATGTTGTTGGGTTTACTGTATGCGACCCTTCCAAAATCTGGGATAAATCTACTCAGCACTGGCCACAGAATGCCTTTGTAGTTCATCATCATTTGCCCTTTCTGAGTTTCCTCTGAGCCTCCCAGCTTGAGACACATAAATATTTGTGGGTATTCGTGGTAGGTATGCAGTCTAGGGAGTGTCTCTTCAAGACAACACAATGAGCCAACAGTAAAGGGGAAAGCTTCCCTTTCCTCAAAGGCTTCCTTCCTGTTCCCTGTCTTTAAGACAAACTAAGACTCCAAACTTCTCCTAAGGGAACTGCAAACAGCTGCTTCCCTCCTGCCTCTTCTGACAGCAGCAAAGTTCATCACACCTACAGACCAGACTCTGAAGGGCCCTACAGAATAACTCCATTCTGCTCTTAGAAAAAAAAGTTGAAGAGAGCACAAATCAACGGGGAAACACACTAGCCGGAGTCTGTCCCAATGTGGAACAAAGTATCCATTAATTGGAGTTTGTATCAGAACCCCCAGAAATAAAACCAGTTGAGGTCCTAAGCTAATAACTGGAAATGTCATTTTCCCAACCCCATACATACATACTTGTTGCATAAAATAGCTGTAAGCCTGCCAGAATGGATGAAAAATGGTGGTTCCCACAAAGAACACAACTGTACAATATGAAAACTAATTGAAATGTCCAAATCAGATCCTTTTTATAATGTCCTGTAGGCATATGCAAAGACTGCTGCCCTAGCCAAGGAAAGAGGCACACAGAAAGTCTGTAAGAAACCCAGGCTCCTCAGCTAGCTGATAACAACTTTAGGTGTCTGCAGCTGGTGGCTGTCTTATTTCATATGACACCTTCCACCCTCACATCAGCTGCTGCAGGCAACCAAGCCTCAGAGAACAGTGACCTTGTCCTCCCTAGTTCTTCTAACAATCTGGCAAGAAGTAAATTAAAGCACAACTCATTTCAGCCCCTATCAATGTTACTTATATACTACATTTGACTCAGCTCTGTACTTGACTACAGTTGGGATAAATATGTTAGAACTTGAAAAACCTTACAGATTTTCTAGTCCAGCCTTCGAATTTTACAGATAAAGAAACTCAGCTGTGAAAGGATCCAATAGCTAGTTCAAAGACCAGCAGCAGACTGAGTCAGTGGCATCACCAGGTGGCCAGAATTTCCCACCTGTTAGCTACACCCTGCTGCTTCTCCACAGGCCAGAGCAGATCCTTTGCACCAACAGGGTCCCCAAGGCTCCACTGACACTGCCACATACAACAGTTGCAGGACCTGAAGCAGGGAACTGGGCCCCACAACACTCAAACCAGAAAGCTGAAAAAGAACCCGTACTTCCCCACAAGTCAGTTTCAAGTAAAGGGATGAGCAAGTCCCCTGCATCGAGATAATTTAGGTAATTCCTGACCTACAGGCTCCATGGGCATAATGATAATGAAATGGTGTTTTTATACTACTAGGATTTGGAATGATTTGTTAAGCAACAATAAATGGGACATCAGGGAAGCTTTAAAAAAACAAACTTCCAATGTCCAAGGTGCATTACAGCCCAGGAATCTATTTTAAAGCACCCCAGATGACAATAATGTACAGCCAAGTTGAGAATCACTGTCTAGAATGTACTGTTCAATACAGTAGCTGCCTGCCACATGTAACTTGTTTAAATTTAAACTACAGAGGCTGGACATGGTGGGTCACCCTGCAATCCTAGTACTCTGGGAGGCCGAGGGGAGAGGATGACTTGAAGTCAGGAGTTTGAGACCAGCCTCAGCAAAAAGAGATCCCATCTCTACAAAAAACAGAAAAATTAGCTGGGTGTGGTGGTAAGCACCTGTACTCCCAGCTATTGGGGAAGTAGAAGCAGGAAGATCACTGGAGTCCAGGAGTTCGAGGTTGCTGCAAGCCAAGATGATATCACTGCCCTATTGCCCCAGCAACAGAGTAAGACTCTCTTTCCCACCCCAAAAAATTAAATTAAACTTTAAATTCAGTTCTTCAGCTGCACTACCCACAATGGGTACTGCACAGACAGAAATTTTATTAGGCAGTGCTGGTCTAGACGAGTAGTTCTCAAAGTTTCTTCTACAATTTCTTATTTTTTTCTTTTTTTATTGAGACAAAGTCTCACTTTGTCACCCTCTGTAGAATACTGTGACATCATAGCTCACAACAACCTCCAACTCTTGGCCTCAACCAATTCTCTTGCCTCAGCCTCCCTAGTAGCTGGAACTGCAGATGCCCGCCACAATACCCAGTTTTTTTTGTTGTTTGTTTGTTTGTTTAGCAGGCCTGGCCAGGTTCAAATCCACCAGCCCCAGTGCATGTGGCTGGCGACCTATCCTCTGAGCTACGGGTGCTCCAAGGCTACAATTTCTTAATGAAAATTTTTGCAACAGTGATGCAAAAAATATGATTTAAATTATTTTTCCAGATTTCTGTAATTACCATAACTAATTATTCTTTATGAATGTAACTATGAGTTATCTATAGCAGCTATTACCTTCAATTCTAACATTTATCTATGTTGTTATGAAAAGGAAAATTATTGTTTTTACTTTTACTATCAGGAGTTAAACTGAAAAGAGATTTTACACAAACTTTTAGTAATAGTAACGACTACAAAGATAATGGATAAATACTTTCTATGTGCTGGGCATCTTTAAATCTAAGCATAGAGAAAACAAAGATAAATAACATATGGCCCTTTTGCTGTGGAGAAACCCCAGAATTTAGCTGGGATACAGCTATATCTGAGAATTGCATCAATATAAAAGAGACCAAAACCAACAAAAAAAAACCAATGCATTTTAGGGGGAAAAAAGCAGACTATATAGAGAAAATTATCATTAATGTCCTCACACAAACAGAAGATACCACAACCAAGAAACAAGAATAAGATGCTATCAAAAAAAAAAAAAAAAAAAAATCAGGCTGAGCACCCACAGCTTAAGTGGTTAGGGTGCCAGCCACATACATCGGGGCTGTTGGTTTTGAATCTGGCCCAGGCCCACTAAACAACAGCAACTACAAAAAAAATAGGCAGGTGTTGTGGTGGGCACCTATAGTCCCAGCTACTTGGGAAGCTGAGGCAAGAGAATTACTTAAGCCCAGGAGTTTGAGTTTGCTGTGAGCTGTAACCCCAAGATCTCTACCCAGGGGGACAGCTTGAGGCTGTCTCAAAAAAAAAAAAAAAAAAAAAAAAAACCCAGAGGCGAGAAATGAGTTCTTGAAAATATGATAGCAGAAAATAAAAATTGAACATAAAGGTTGGAAGATCCAGTGGATAAAATCTCCCAAAGGATAGGACAAGAGACGAAAAGTAGAAAAAAAATAAATAAAACCAGTAGCAGACCAGTTTAAGAAACCCCATGTCCAAATAAGTGTCCAGAAAAGAACTGAGAATTAATTCGTGAACTAATTCAAGAATTTTTTTCAGAACGGAAAAAGACATGAGTTTCCAGGTCAAAAAGGCCCATTATTATAAGTCACAAAAATTAGAAAGAAAAGAATATTCTGCAAGATTCCAGAGAGGAAAAAACTAGATCATATCCAGAAAATTAGAAATCCAAATAACTTCTCAACAGAAGCACTGAAAGATAAATGGCATGGGAACAAGGTCCTGGATGCGGAATCTGATACACATCCAAACTATCTATGAGGTAAATAGGCACACTGAAGATACTTTGCATAGTTAAAAAAAACTTTACTCCCCAAACATGGCTTTCCCAGGAAGCCACTAAGAATGTGCTCTACAAAACAGAGGCAGGAAATCAAGAAAAAAGAAAAAGAAAACAGAAAAATAGGGGATCCACACAGGAGACAAAGGGAATCCCCCACACGATGGTACAGGGAAACCCAGGAAGAGAGCTGCACCAAGCACACAGGGATGCCCGCTCACAACAGAACAGGTTAAAGGGTCAAGGAGAAATGTCTCCAAGAAGATTAAATTGAGAGAGTAGCTGATGTGCTCACTTCTACAGCCCCTATGCCGAAATTGGAACAATGCAGAGATTAGCATGCCCCCTGTGCAAGATGACAAGCAAATCTGTGAAGAGTTACATTAAAGAAGAGACAGAGAGAGGAAAGAGTACCTGGTATGTGTCAAAGTCTCCAAAGGAGATTTAGCCAAGGGGCACAGAGTTTGAATGCTGAATTCATAATAAACACATAGACAAAGAAGCAAATTAAAGAGAAAAAGGGAAAAAATTGTTAACTCCAGGGAAAACAAAGTTTTGTATGACAAGGAAAGAATTCATTGAATAGCACATGGCTCAGTGTAACTGTGTTGTAATCATATAAAGAATGTAAACATTAAATATTGATCCAGCCAAAATTACTATGCAAGTATACTGGGAAAGTGGAGGGGTGAAGGAGGAGAGAATTTGGGGTGGAGTAGGAATAAAGCAGAGAACGAACAAAGACAGCAAATCAAAAACTAGCACTTACTAGCATGTCACTTGGAAATATGGAAGGAAATTCCAAGAGAATGAACTAAAACCACTGAAAGTAGTTGCCTCTGGGGAAAGGAGGACTTTTTTAGCATGGCCTTTATAAATTATTAAACTACTCTTTACACTTTAAACTATGTACACTTGTGTTTAAAAAAAAAAAAAGAGCCCAAGATCTTACCCACAAAACCTGTATTTTTCTAATATTAGTATGTGAGTCCTTGGTGGGTTGTGAAATCAATTAGTAAGTCACAACCATGATTTTTTAAATGAATTCAAACAGAAACAGGGAAAAAAGTAAGAGATAAATTGCACACAGTTAAGGGTATTTTTCATGAGCCTTTATAATGCACATTCTCCTGCCCCCCCCCACCCCACACATAGGTTCATTATGTAAAATGTATCTTTAACTGTGGACTTGTCATCAAAGTAACTATAAAATTGCCACTCTAAACTGCATTGCACTATAATTATTTTTGGTCTTATTTTTTAAATCTTTCAATTGCCTTTATTTGAAAGCAAACTAAAAATGTTGACAGTTTAACGAAAATAACCCATTATAATGTTCTTTAAAATCCTGCTAATATCATGCCTGAAGAACGGTCACTCCTGTATTAGTGAAACCTAAATAGTCTTTGCTTTTTTACAATCAACTCTGTAATCTAGCCAGAGAGAAGAGCAGCAACACAGAAAAGAGAATTCAGAGTCCCACAAATGATTTTATAATGTGAAATATTACTACTTCTCAGGTGACCTCGCTTTTTCATTTTGTATGACTTTCCCTAATAGTTAAGTTTCTGATCTATAGAGACACTTGAACCAAAGGAACCATCCTAGAAGCAACTGGAAACCAGTTTGGAAATAAAAACTTGCAACATTAACCCACATACCCCAAAAAGCTTGCAACATATACAGTTTGAATATCTCATCCAAAATGCTTGAGACCAGAAGTATTTTGGATTTTTTCAGATTTGGGAATATTTGCATTATATACCTACCGACTGAACATCTCTAATCTAAAAATTCAAAATTCAAAATGTTCCAATGAGCATTTCCTTTGTACATCTTATTGGTGCTGAAAACATTTTGAAGGCTGGGCACCTGTAGCTCAATGGTTAGAGCGCCAGCCCCGTGAACCAGGGTTGGCGGATTTGAACCCAGCCTGGGCCTGCTAAACAAAAATAAAATAAAGTAAAATAAAAACATTTTGAATTTTGCAGCATTTTGGATTTAAGATGTTCAGATTAGGGATACTCAACCTGCAACTCATAAACTAGACAACATAGATACAGTTGACCAAGAAGCAGCTTTCTTCCACTGACCCTCCCTCGTATACTAAAAATTAGGCAGATGCTAAAAACTGGTATGCTTTGTTACTAAGAGCCCATTTTTGGCCCAACATTTTCTTTTCATTCAGAGTAGATGCACACTTTATTTTGGATTCTTACATTATAATTCACTTAACATAAAATAATCAAAAACAAAAGCTTCTGTAGAAAGTAAGTTCCATTATACTCTTTTCATGATAAAGCTTCACTTCCTAAGTTATAAGCATCAGATCCATAAAGCCAACCATCCATGTTTTAAAAACCACCACTACAGTTCATACTGAATACAAAAAAGAATGAAAGTCTTAATATACTGATAGTGAAAGATACCAAACATATTTGTTAAAATATATATAACTAAGATAAACTTATTTGTATGCGTGTGAAAATGCACATATATAATGAAAATGCATAAGAAATATGACTATGGTTACCCTTTTGCAGAGAGGTAAGGGGACAAGTAGAGTAGGGGTGCCAGCTGGGGTGAGAGGAAGACCTTCACTGTTTATCTCACCCATTTTGGCAAATTAGGCATTGTCATTCTGTTCCCTCCTACCCCTTACCCTTACCCTACTCCCTGAGAAATGCCTTGCTGCTGAATCTTACTCCACATGCCACACTCCCAAACACGCAGCCACCCAGAAGCAATCTGTGGCAGGTATATTTCACTGTCATTGACAAAAGACTTTCTCCTAATCTTGCAAATTGAACCTACACCCTCAGCATCCATAAGACCACACAAATGCCACCTGTCTTTAAAGTCTGCTGGGACCCTGAATGGTAAACACAGTCTCCCCTCAGGGCTCCTACCACTGCAGTGACTGAGCCCTCTTGTGTGCCAGGCACTGTGCAGGAGCACGGGACACAAAGAGAAGCCGGAGAAGGTATTAATACCTGCCTTCAAGGAATTCACAGCCTCAAGAAGGAGGGAGAAGAGGAAACAGGGAATTTCCAAATAATATGGTACTTGCAAGGGCAAAAGTATACCCTGATGCAATTTACCACATTATATTTTTACTGTTTTTTTTTTCCTCTCTCTTCCCACATCTCTCTGGTGTAGGCAGTGATCTACAGTTCTTTAGATGCCCTGTGCCAACCATGGTACCTACATGATCTGAACCTCATAAACAGCTCCTAGATAGCAATGCTATGGTATTTTAAGAAACAAATTCATCTGTTTCTTAATGTTTCAGAACAACGATCAGTACACATGTCAACTATTAACCTGGACTATGCAATGTATTATGATTATAAATCTATGCAATGTATTATAATCCTATTATAGAATTTTAGCACCAAAACATTTTTACCTCAAAAGTCCTCTGATCTTTTTGTCCTCACCGTGCAAAATCATGACAGCTAAGCCTGGCTGTTTCTTTTCCTGGAAGTTAATGCACTCTCATTTATTTTTACTGAATAGACTGAAACGTTCATCCAGTAATTTTGAATGTAATTTATTGGTAATTTCTCATGACTTCCAGAAAAATGGTAATTCGCAATTTGATGCAGGTTTGCCATATTAGGACCCCTTATGCTGCAATCCTTTGTCTTCTAGATATGAAAAATAATAATATTCTCCACGTCCTACTCATTCACCTTTGCCCTGCCCTGAGCACTATCTAAAAACAAATGATAGAAAAGAATTGAGAACATAGCAAGAAGCACTGTTGCAATTAATCAACCCAGAGCCCAAGGGAGGAATTGTTTCTATTTTTAAATGCACTGCTGCTTTAAGGGAAAACTGTGGAGAAATATGAAACCAAGCTGCACAATGGAAATCAAAATGCATTTGGTGTCTTCATCCTTGCAAAAACAGTAATCCTAATCTGCAAGCAGCGCTGCCGTGTTGACTCTTTCCAATTTGTCTATAAACTGAATGATCAGTAGAATCCCACAGAAAAAGCCCAACCACCACTCAAAAAATTAGATCAATCAGAAAGACAGAACAAGAGAGCACCCATTTTTCAATGCTATTCTTATAGCTCCCGATAACATACTACCCAATAAGCAAGCAAACGGACAAATCCCAAAATCACCCCCACAAACCTTTACTTAAAAGCTCCTGATTAATAACCAATGTGACAGCCCTATAAATGATCAACTGATTACTTAGCATTTGGATCCAACTGTTCACAATTATAGTCTATCCCAATTCCACAAAATTAAATCTGTTTCTCTGCACAAATGACAACACTTGATTTCATTAAACAGTAGCTAACAGTAGCAGTCCTTAGGTTAAGTGTGACAAGGAGCAGGTGCCAAGGACAACAGAAGTAGCAGCTACACATAAGAGGAGCTATAATATTCTACCTGTTTCCCAGACTGCTTTGGAGACTATGACCCAACAGAATTTTTTTCCTAAAACAATATCCAGTTGGGGGGGTGGGGAGAAGACTTTGGTGATGTGGGCATCTAATTTAATCTGTAAATATTTTAATTTTCTCTATGCGTTTACTTATTATCAGCCTAAACTATATCATCTACATTGCTGCAAATGTATCTAAAAATACTATTCAAGGATACATCCATATAATTTGGCTACTGAACACCACCCTAAGAATCTGCAAGAGGTAGCAGAATGTTTGCAGACTGAATAAAAACTGCTAGGCACAACACGAAAAGCAAAGAATTCCCAAACTTACCTCCTCATAATTTCTTTCCCCAAATTTAGTAAAACTGTGCCTGAACACCACGTGAGTATAGAATGGAGGCAGGTGCTCCCGTTAGCCATAAAACAACAAACCCTATTTCAGAGTCACTCTTCAGGGAAAATCTCTGAAGAGTGAAATTCACCAGATTGTAGCTCATCAATCAACAGGTGAGTTCGGGAAACACAAACTCATACTCATTTCCAAGAAAAATTAATTTGGTAAAATCTCCCGGGTTTTCTTGGCCATTTTTTACACGCTACTGCATTACTTACTGAATGAATTCCAATTAATTTCTTTTCAGGGGCTTAGCAGAAAAATGCCAAATATTCAAATTATTTTAGGGCATTTTCCCATACTGCTGCATGGAACAGAGCAGAATTAATAAGGATCCAACAGTTACCACTTTTCAAATGCAAATATGTTGCCATCTAGTAACTGCAGCCCCCTTTTAAACATCCCCCCAGTGTCTATACAGTCCAGGCCACTACTTTTGTTTCCTCGAAAATCAAAATTCGCGCATTATATTCAGGCATTATCTCGACTCAGCACCACCACCAACAACAAAAAAATAGATTTTAAATGGTCCAGCCTGAGCCAGCCTGGTACGAGAACTGTTTTGCTGTACCGCTCCCCTCGCCCCGAAGCCCCCACCATTTAACACACAATTGTCCCCAAACGATTCTGCCAAAGCAAACAAACGGTGCAGAGGTGGGAAAAAAAATCACAATAAGCTCTTGGGCTGGTCACTTGCCCGCCTCCGGGCCTCAGTTTTCTTATCTGTAAAATGTGGTCGATAGACTAATCATCTGGCCCTCACACTCTCAGGGTGCCTCAAGGCCCGCCGGGGCTCAGCTGACGGGTGCTGGCTCTGGACAGGGTGCCCTGACACCGCAGCTGACGAGGAGGGGGGCGCGGAGGGAGGAGAGGAACTTGGACTTGCAACAGCTTCAAACAAGAGCGTGTGATAAACTTGAAGCCGTCCTCCTAACAATAGGAAAGAGCTCTGCCGTTTTCCTGGCTCAAACTTGCAGGACCAGAGCCTCCTAGCCGCCCTCTCCGAACCCGCTTTACCTTTCTCCCTGTTTGGTGTTAGAAGGAGGAGGGTGCAGGACCGTTTGATTCCCTTCCATCTCCACCACGCACTTGGTGTTCAGTTCCAGTTCTGAAAGCACAGGGGAAAACCAACGTTGCAAAGTCGAGCATCCGCGCCACCAGCCAGCGGCGCCGAACCGCCAGGGGCTCCGTCCCCGGAGGCGGCCGAGCTGGGAGACCGTGCCCAGGACGCCCGGGCGCTGCGGCCAGTGCGGGCTCTGCCTCCGCCCGGCTCCCCGGCCCCGGCCGCGCTCTAGCCGTTCCAGCCTGGCGGCCCCGCAGTTTCCAAAGTTGCCCTCGCCCTCAGCCCGAGCAGAAATAAAAACGAGCGGAAAGCTCCTCACCTCGTCGGTTCATGGGCCGGACCCGGACTGCAACTTTTACCTTGGTATCCGACATGTTGGCTGCGCTCGCCGGGCGGCTCGCGGCGCCCGCTCAGCCCGAAGCGGCCCCTC